TTCCACTTATTTGGGACAATCAGGATAGGCACACATCAGATGTATCTAGGGACAAAGCAAGTCTGTGACAGAAACTTCGAATTGTTACTTTCTTTACATTGCTATTGCCATTTGTGTTATTCAAGTGAACAATTTTATAGTGTGAGCTGTTTCCATGAGTTTAATAGATTTGAGGAGTGGAAAGTAAATTTTGTTTTCATTTTTCATCGATTGTTAAAACCAGGGCTTGATTTCAGACGGAACGGCGTTCCGGTACCTCCGAAATTATTATTAATTTATGCAATAAATATATAATTATTTCTATTAAAATTAATTAGTAATTTGGAGCGCGCTCCGGGACCAAATATTTTATAAATAACTGGTGAACCTAGGGACACTTACTGTTGATGTACCTAGGGACGTCTTTAGGTTCATAAATGTAGTATTACATTGATTTCATGATGTAATTCTCATTTGCCACGTAGCAAAAGAAACTACAAAAGGCCTCAACCACTAGCAGAAACAATAGGGCAGTTTTCATTGATGTCAAATAATGTAATGTCAATTTGTTATTAATTACCTCATACCCCGAGCGTGTGCGTTTTGCTTACAATGTCCCAGTATATATAGTTGTGTAACGATGAGAAACTTTACTTTTCAGCTTGAGAAGACCATAATACGGCGTGGGGATGTCTTCGTGCCAAAAATCCGTACTCCCTTAACCCATGGCCACAACTTCGCTGGTAGGTCAGTACACGCACCAAACACAAGCCAACGTCTACCTGCGGGGAGTCATCTGGAGACGCCATGAAGCGCCTTTTCCGCGTGCGGAATGACGTCCTGAGACGCGGACCTTTCTCTTCTCGTCGCGGGAGCCGAACGGTTGCAGCCGCATTGCTTAGGATAATTGGCAAAAGGAGTTTCACTTCAGGTAGCGGGCCTGCCGGGGCAGCTGTTTTAACGCTGCGGCGGAAGTCTTAAGAGCAAACGAGGAAAGTTTTGAGACACTGGGCACTTTAAATACGAGTGAGGAACCCCGTTGTCAAAAACTACTCCCCACAACAGGTGCACTAGACGTACCAATAGAATTTAACAAATTTCAATTTTTTATTTATTCTAACCAGGAAAGCAATTGATATAAATTAGTAGGAATGTTATTTTTATAATTCAGTTTACTTTAAGTTTTTTTCCTGACTATATGTTTTTATCTTTTGCCAGGCAAACAATTTAAAATGACAAGATTTCCGAGTACATTTGTCAATTTTTTAAATAAATATTGAGAATTAATTATGCATAACTCTTGGAGAAGGCGAAGCTCGGTACCTTCATAGACTGTACCCCGCGAATGTACGGGAAACAGTTGAACAGGCAACCCGCGAGATGAAGAGATGACACGCCGCAGGTACAAGTGAAAGTGTCGTACATCTTGAGACGGAACCGCGCGCTGCTCTGCACTGCCGTTTACCTGTTCCCGCCTTGAAGCAGGAAAGGGGTTAAGAAAGCTCCGAGAAAGAGTAGCTTCCCCCTTCGTCACCACGTTGAAGGATTAAAACTGCTATTCACCTGAAGTGCAAGGGTTGTAAAAATAAAGAATTCAAAACTTAATACTGGCTATATAGAGACCAAGTAAGATATTTAACATTAATATCCTTTTCTCTAAAACCAAATGGTGAAAACCATTTTCTCATAGAGAGGTTTGAGAGCGTGGACTCCTCGTTGCCGAACACTTTTCATAGAGACCTGCCCAGAGCTTTTACGGCGGCGGCAGCCATTAAAATTTAGATAATGTAGAAGATGGGGGTTAGGTTCACTTCACAGGAGGAAACCATGCGAAAAGCAACAATGGCCGATGCGCAGACGCGTTAAAAGTACTTCCTCGCGCCTGGCAGCACGGGATGAGGAAGTGCAGGAATTTAAACAATCCTTAAACGCCCTCAAAGTGGCATTATGTCACTGGCTGCCATGCACTAAAATGGACCGTTTTAGATATGCGTGTAAGTCTGATAACGGACCAGTACAAATACACACTATACCATAATCAGATTTATATACATATTTTTCATTATTAGGCATGATCATTTCAGACTTCTTAGTCTCTACTTTCGCAGCCTGGTCAGCGAACTCAGTGCCACTAATTCCCACGTCACCAAAGAAGACATCATAGACGATATAGATATAAACAATGAACCAGTTGTATTATTGTCGTCGACAAGTGTGATAGTGTAGTGCATGCGAGTTGTATGTGTAAGGAGTGAGGATGGGATAAGGAAAGGAATAGAAAGATAGAGCGCGGTGCGTGGCCTGTTTGTTAGGGTACTACTCCGGCATTTGCTTGGTGTTGATCGAAAAAAAAGAAGACTTCCGATCAGAGCGGTCGGGCGCTAGAATTCTCCTCCAGAGAGGGTTTGAATTCGAACTAGTTGTCTTGCTGGTATCCTGGCACCGTCGGAACTCGAACCCAGAACCTCCCTGTCAGAGGCACTGCAGTGACTTCAGTTGATACACCCTGAGCCACCTTTGCCTGCGAGACACTGCTTGAAGAGAGATAAGATAATCAGAGCAGAGAACGACTCGCCGCAAAGAGATTGATTCAAGATATTTAATGGCTTCGAGAATTGCATACATTTCAGCAGTGAATAGATTGCACAGATATTGAACTCGAAATGACACGGTGACCCTAAAGAAATGAAAACTGCAAACCGTCGTTGTCCTCTTTGTCGTTGGAAGATGCGCCATGAGAAGTTGGAAGATGAGCCATCAGTGAATATAATATATGTTCAGTATATGCTGCCCGCATATTGCGAAACTGGATCCGATATTCTAGGAAGGGGGCGCGTTGTCTGTTTGGGAAGGTTGGAGAGTCGGAAGTCACTGGTCGGTCAAAGGAATTTCCAAGGGAGAGCGAGGTTGCTTGTGGCGTTTTCCGAGGTAGGAAGGCAGATATGAAGATCGCAATAGATTTAAAAATCGAATACCAAGATGCGGGGGGAACGATGTTTGAGAACATATCGAGGCTAGATTCTAGTTCGACGGGATGGATGGATCGAGATACCCCTAACTTTCGCAGCATAAGACGTTAAGAGGGTTTCCATTTTTCGTTTCAGGGATGGCTCACCCGCTTCAGATAAAAGGAAAATCAGGTCTGGTGGTCCGGTATGCCACCACCCACGGACACCAGAATGGTGAATACCATTAAGGGGTGGAGGAAGCCGCTGATCCGTGTACAAAACTTCCGTAATAAAGAACTGAGCAGATGAGTGTTTTGTATAGCCGCAGAAGCCAAATGCGGACAGCTGCCCGTGAGGTACCACTCAGCGTACGTACGACATTTACTGGGAGACACGTCTGCTTTGCAGACTGCGGATGCGGGAACTCCGAGACAGAGCTGGATTGCTGTAGGCTGGATAGCTTCTGCAGGAACGTAGAAGTGCACACCAGTAGTGCATTGAGAAAAAGGCGAAGTCATAGGAGGAGCTCCATACGTGTAGTTTGTTAAGGACCAGTTGGAGTTGCCTTAGGGCAAACATATTGCTGCTGGATGGTGGCAAAATAAAAAGATGGAAAAATCATTCACAAACAGCGATGCCTTCACAGGTTCACGCACGAGCGATGCTATACTGTTTACGGCAATGGCTAACAGAGTGACACTCAGCACCAATCTTGGCGAGATGTCATTTTCAGCTAAGCAGTTTGTCACCAAGAACACGGAAAGATCTATTTGAAACAGTTTCGGAGGAACGCAGTCTTGTCTCAGGACGAACGATGTAGAAATTTGTGTGCCGAATGCAACGAGATGGTCCTGAGTTGGCCAGTGTTTTCTGCTCCAGCTAACTGCTCATTTACCATGCGTTCCAACACTTAGCAAAAGCCACTGGTAAGATAGATAGGAGTGTAGCTCTATGACAACGATCGATACTTTTGCTCCTTTAGAGCGGGAACAACGATGCCATAGAGCAAGGTTGGCGTGCTCTTCCCAGATGCGATTATAAAGTCCAAGGAGAAATTGCATTGTCATTTCAGAAAGATGCTGCAGCATTTGGTTGTGTATTCCTTCAGGACAAGGAACAGTTATTTTCGATAACGTGAGAGGAGAGTGAACTTCCGATAAGGAGAACGGTGCTGTAATCGTAAGGTTTCTGCTAGAACATTTCAAAGGACGATTCTCCGTCGTCTCTTTAACGAAGAGAAAGACTGAGGAATAGTTCGCCGAACTAGATGTTTCATAGTGGGCGGCGAGTTCCTCTACAATAGAATTACGAGAAGTAATCACATCTTCATACTTAAGGAGACCTGGCACCGTATTTGATGAATGTCCTTTTACTTTCCCGACAAACACATGGTTAAAAGTGCAACGCAGATAATATAGGTGGTAAATGAAAATAAAAAGCAAGAGAATGAAAGATGCAGAAGAGAACACATGATAGTCTTCTTTGCATCCCGTCGTCAGGACGTGGACCGGATCAACCTCGACGGGTATGTAACGATGGGTGAATTAGCCTCAGCGAAGACGTGCGAAGTGGGGGAAACGGAACGTTTGTCGCTGTGAATTTCGTACAGGGGGAAATGATGCGTCAATACCAGCATTTCAAAGCGCATGTGTGTACGCCTTGCGATATCCCACTCGCTGGCCTACGACACGACATGCAGTATTGAGGCATCTTGAAGCACGACTGCCAGCGAACGAGCTTCCACGGCCATGTGCGGACATCGGAAGACGGCCGTACCGGTGCAATCGACATAAAGGTTACACGCAACGTTCGGGACCTTGCCCAATGATATGGCGTACCGTGTGTTTCGTCTGGAAAGTCAGTCGGTTCCAGACAACACTTTGATGACGTTAATAAGACACTCCACAAGCACATATTAATTCATTCCAGGGGGAAAAAGTCATCAGACCATCTCCCACATTGCCGCAATAGTTGCTATCGCACTCTTCTCATGTACCTTCTCCATCACCAACAACCAAATTCATTACACTATTAAAAAGTAATAAATTATAACAATATAAAGAAAAAACTTACAACTCGGTGGTGTACATTGGTATATCCTTAGGTATTTCTTTCAAAGAGCGACCAGAGCAGTCAACAATTGTTCCTTCACATGAACACCCATTGGGACAAGCATTGTCAATAAGGCATTCTCCGGCAAGTCGTGTACGATACTCTTCTACACCTACAACATAAAAACACCAATAGTTTGTATGAATTTTCATTTATTCACTCATTCGAATTTAATGGGCGCGTAAACCTTCGTTTGTGCCCATGTAACATTTTGTAAATAGAATAAAAAAGGAAAATAGTCTTCATATAATTATATGCATAAAAACAAAAAAAAAACATTCATGACGAGATCATTGCAAAGTACGGGTTATGCCACTAAAACACGTTATCTGTAATTACATAGAAATTTGCTTTTAATGGCTTATTAAAATTAAGCTTATTCAAATTAAACTTTTTGTACTAATCATCCAGACAGCTAGGACAGGCAAAGGTGGTTTCCACAGATGTCACGTTTTGATCGCAAGGCACAGCAACATCTACAAGTAGACATGATTTCTTCTCCAAATACCGGATAACAATATCCTGTTTGTTTGCTGCTGCCGTGCGAACCGTTTGAATTTGTTGGTCGTACAAATTACATAGAGTCCAACAGATATCACCGATTTTGGTGAGTATTCCTATCACTTGGGGCATGTATTTGGAACTTCGATGCCGGTACAGATCTGCCAGTGGAGGTAACTACACATCCTGTCGTGCCTTTTCAAGTATTCGGTCTTTCCTAGAATTGGACAAGCTGAGACGATATGATCAATGGTTTCTACTTGTTCCTGAAAGATGCCTCATTTATCATCTTGGGAAATTTTGAGAACCGCTTTACCATAATGTCGTGTTCTTAAAGCCTAATCCTGAGCAGCTATTAGAACTGCTTGCTATTCTGGCTTCATTATTTCCCTTTTAAGACACATAAATCTTTATCCATCTGCCCTTTGTCCGTTATTTTAGTGGTTTGTCTCTCCATGATTTCTTTAACATTTTTGTCTTAAATTTAATTGACTTAAATCAGAAAAAAATTCTAAGTTAAAGATTTATTAACTTTTAAATCGGATAAACGAAATTATTTTGAAATATACATAAATAATAACATGAACTGAAACTATATTATTTGCTATTATAAAAATATTAAAAAAGTGTCAATTATGTGTAACTTCAAATAAATTGCCAAGATATTCCTGGGAGAATCTCAAGATTTATTTTACATAAAGTTGTTCTATAAGAGAGTTAAAACTACTCTCTTATAGTACGTAGAGGGTTTCACGCGTTTAGATTGAGAAGTCGAGGTGCTCTGTTTCAGGCACCTCGCAGTGTCAGTTGTTTATAAATAAACTTAATAGGCCCACTTCGTGAGAAGACTTCCATTTCAGACCCTACGTGTGTTTCTGTGATTCATAATATGACCTAAGTCCCACGCTTGCTTTATGTCGGAAGCCACGATGCGCCGTGTCATTGACCCCCAGTAGTTCGAACAGCGAGTCTTGCCTGTATTGGGCTGCCTACATGCTCAAGTGAATAAACAATTTTTTTAAGTTATTTGTGTGTCCCACTATGAAATTTGGCAAATCTATACAACATTAGTGTAGAAATACATGAGCATTTTTTTACAATTAATTTAACAGTCGATCTATTATGAAAATTTGGATTTTAAAAATTAAAATATATTTTAAATATTTAAAGAATACTTTTCCAAAAACTATTTACACGCGCAAAAGTAATTGGTTATATTTCTGAAAGGGGTAGGATTAGAAAAAAAATATTTTTTCAACCCTTGACCTCAAAAAAGTTAAGTCGCTAAAAAATACTTATGTTTTGTGAGTGTGCGATCTGATGCGGAATGACTCATATAGGAAAGCCTCTGCGAGTTTGAGAAACATTCTTTAAATTTGGGGATACTTTACATGAAGCAGCTGAGAAATTTTTAATTTCTTTTTCAAAAATAGCTCGAATTTTTTCATTTAATTTTTTACACGAACAGAGTGAAATACACTTTTGAAGAGAGCAAAGGATCGATTGTCACTATTAATTCTGAATTTTCGAAAATTACGAAAGTATTTCTTTCGGTGTCGTCATACAAATTCAATACTGAAGATAGCGACATTTTCTCAAATTAAATATGTTCTCCATTTTTCATAATTTTATAACGGTTGTTTACACTATTTTCAAAATTTTATGTTTTCGAGCAATTTTGATTGAAATATGGGTAATATTGAAAGTCTTAAAAGGAAGATTTTCTCAAAAACAGCTCCAATTTTTTCTTCAAACATTTTGTCAAATAGTGAAAACGCACTGTAAACGTATTTTAATATATCTCCTGTTAAAATTTAGATAACAGATGTGTTTCATTGTTTAATTCATGTTCCTATTCCTCTGTTTACACAACTGATCCAGTATATCTGAGAAAGAAGGCTGTTCTGTTTCATGGAGACCCTAGGCGTGTCAGTTGTTTACCTACTAACTTTGTTAACACATAAACGTCAAAATATCTCTAATGATGGTTTTTGAAAAATCCGTAAGTTTTTTAGTATATGGGAAATAAAAATGGCGAATTTTCGGAAACGATCGATCCATTTTTTTCAAACACTACGAAAAATGTTCGTTGGAATATCTCCAAAACAGAAAAGATTTAAATTCTCTGCAATACTCCAAAATGTGATAGTTTTCTATTCGCTCGCGTACGATTACATACATTATTGCTGTAAATAAATAAATATGACCACCTGCATTGAACTCATGCATGCAGCTGCAAGTCTGCTCCTAATACCAACAATTGTAAAAGAGAGAGCGTCCTGAGGGAATGTTCCTCTCTGGATTCTTCTAGAATATTACAGGAGTTAGCGGGAGAAATTTTAATGCGTAATAGACTTATCATAACCATAGGCGTGCGGTGACTAATTCGTGTGGCTCTGTAAAAAGCCTAAATAGCAAGAGTGCGATTTAGAGTCCGTTTTGATCCACAAAATCCCGTATGAGTGAAATACTACAATTCGTGCTGAATTGGCAATGCTCGCACATCGAAATCAACTATAGGAAGCCGCCTTCGCTCTGCCCTCCCTCCCACGACACTTTTGCGCCTGATGAAGATCTAAGAACTATTGGGAGATTGTATCTCGCTGGACCATGGAAATACTGTCATTAATAGATTTATTCAAGACATTTCTAGTCGAAGAAACCAAATCATTTTAATTCTGTTATGACTCGAAATGGTTTGGCAAATTTTGATGTTGCAAGGTATTATTCAACATATTTAATAAATTTAATAAACGTTCGATCGACGTAACCTTTGCTCACAAACTCGTTTTCACTATACCTACTGAAATGCAATTCGTGCGTTGCTAAAAAAATGTTCGCGTTAAATTAGGCGTTTTAATATGTCTTTATTCTTTCTGCGTCATTATGTTGCGTTACATCTGATAGATCAAGTTCACTTTCGATGTGGTCACTTCCAAGACTAGTCAGCTGAATAAGTGAATGCAAATGACTTTATTATCGATCATGTTTTGTGATTGCATTTGAGAAATTGTACAAATTGGCCAGCGTTATTGGTTCCAACGGTATTGGTGCCCCACATTACGATCGCGGGAAATATGGCCCAGCAAAATAGTTTATTAAGTTTTTTTGTTTCCCATTAGCCAACTTTTGCTTTCATATTCTTGTGTATAAAAAAGGGAAGGGAGTATTTCCTTTCATCATCGGAAGTTAGGAAGTTCCGGAACAGGCCTCCCTAAGAGAATAATTCACGTTTCTCCACAAAAGTACAATTGAACGTTTAAAAAAAATATACTCAATAATACATGCATTTTCTGCCAAGCACAAAATCTTACTGCTATATAGCACGAACGGCTGCACTCAAATAGAACACGCACTCAAAAATAATGCCCACAGTAAAAATAACACGCACAAATCAAATAAATTCACAAGTAAAACAGTATGGTTTCAAGTAACGTCCTTACAAGCAGGCAGCGCTTGCCAGTGCCGAATGGGAACGTCTGCGAGCTCTGCTCAGGGCCGCCGTGGACGCGGCGCTTACTAGCGTGCTCCATACAATCAAAAAGTCAAGAGCGCAGCCGTGAACTGCCTAGTTCATTTAGAAGGAGAACATCGGCATGCTCACTTCGGGCCGGGTTGCTGCACATACGACCATCGTCCCTTAAATCGCTTTCAGCCTTTGTCACAACAGGGTTTATGCCCAATGCCAGCCGCATCCGAGCGAATTTCTCTTTTTTTCATTAGATCGGATCGCCGAGCGCGCAAGTCGCGTTCGGCCAGCCGCATACTTCAACATCCCAGCGAAGTTATTTAGTTTGTGAGCTTGGAGCACACGGCACGCGAGGTTTCTGCCGTTGCTGTCAGAACTATTTTATCAGAACAAGGTTCCGAGAATTGTCGCACTTGATCAAAAACTGATTGACGACGAGTGCACGTCTAAATTCAATATAACGATTGTGCTGATCCGGAGACGACTGCGGTGCTGCCTAGGGAGAGCATCCGCCACAAAGGGACTTCGAAAAGCCTATTATCCACGGCCTAACGTCTACGAGCAGCCAGAAACCGACCGCCTCCGGAGGTGGAAAGGGCTGGTGGGTCATCGACCTCCAAGGGTCGCCGCAAAGAAGATTACGGTGAAGTTATATTCTAAACCCAGCAAAGGTAAAACATTTTAGCTGTTCAAGCTGTTCAAACATTTTAGCTGTTCAACCTTGATTGCTCCTGAATTAACAGGAAATTTAAACGGTTTATGAGTAAACTGGCGTAGCAGCGTTTGACCAATTTTTGTAATTTAATTAATAAGCTATATTCTAATTTTAAATTCCAATTGGGGTAGTGAGCTCACCACAATGTCTATCGTTTGTAATTCATCGTTTTTAAGGCATTACATTAAATTTTGTTCATTAATCCAACAATTAAGTGATTTCTATCATAGCAATGCTCACCCTCCCAACACACCGAAACTAGGTATCCCAAAAGTCACTTGAGCTAGCCGGCACACCAGCAAAACTAACGACGATAAAAGGCGTTCGTGACTATTGGATATCCCAAGTGAAGCTTGATTATATAAATACGTGTTGTTCGTCACAATATTCAAGTAATCAATTTGTCACGCGTTCCTGTACCAACAATTGTAGAAATGATGCATTGTATATGCAGGGTGATTCAGTCCTCGCTGCTTATACAGGACCCAGTGATATAGTACATTTAGTTATTCATGGGTGCAAAAAGAAATAGTGAAAACGCTATTCAAAATGTTGAAAAAAACGTTTTGTTATTGATCATATTTTGCAAAAAAATGTAGGCCACATATTACATTAATTATTTTATCTGCTGCTCTTATTGCCTAATTATCTAACTAATACGAAAGGAGAGTCATCATATTTGCGTATACATCCAAAAAACCACACTTTCACCTCGTTTAACAGGGGCTCTATAGTGTTCGAAATGGCCTCCTGTGAACGCAAGGTAGGCATTTGTTCTGCACGGCCTCCGTGACACTAACAAATTTGCCGGGTTGTACTGCATGTATATTTGCCTATACACTTTCAATGCGGTGAAGGCCATCACGATCATCGACTTCGGTAACATTTCGGTAACTTCGCTAACAACGCGGTCTTTCATTTATATCCAGATCCAAAACAGGAGGAGGTGAATTATAAAATTCAGATTCTGAACGTTTCTTAAATGCTCGAGCAAGAAGTGAGGGTCGAGGATAAAATCATCCACAATGCCAACTAACACATTTATAGAAAATCGCCCTTGCTGTACTACACTATGTACAACATGAGGATTTCCTTTGTCCTCACATGCAAATTGTGTACATTAGTTGTGCCATTTCGTGTAAAACGCTTCACGTTTTAAGTCACTACAGCGTAACTGCTTCACCCGCTGGAAATGGAATAGTTTATCTCTTCACAAGAATTGTTCGCCAGCTGAGCATACTGCTGAGGACTGCTTTGAGCTCGCACACGTTTTGCCTTGTGCGCGCTTCCGCAATTTCTCGAATAGTATTAGCAACTGAGTGTTCCAGATGAGTGGTGAGCTCTAAAACGTGGTGAAGCTTCTCCCTTACATGCCGTAGCCTAGTTACACGAGCAGAAGCTCGAAGTTTAATGTTTAACATTAATTAATTACAAAACTAAACGAGAGTATCCAATTTTGGCAAATTCAGTCTATACATTACACATGAGATATGGCTCCGACGTATTAGCAACGAGGATTGAAACTCCCTGCAGGCCTACCTGCGCCATCTCTTGAGAGTTTTCTATGTTTTCCGAGGAGAAAGTTCAATAAAAAATTTGAGTCATTTTTGAGAAAATTATCAAAATGATGTTGAAGTTAAATGTAAAGCACTCCCCCAAAACGAAATATACAAATCAAACTCGACGGGTCTCGAGTTCGTTCAAATCGATGGAGAGATGTCTGTAGAAATCCGTCTGAAAGGTTGATGCGGTAGCGTTGACCACAGACAGAGAGATCGACATACGTTTTGCCATCAATCGATTTTCGCTATCAAGGACGCACAAAACATGGATTCCGTCTACACAACGTCTCAGAGAATGTACTTTTTACGATATATAGAAACAACAATTATCGTCATTTTCGCTTGCAGGTAACGGCAATGAGGGGTATCTGGCCGTTTCTCCCTGTTTCGGGCGAACGATTACAATACTTTTTCTTCTTACGAAGTAAAACGAGGAAGAAAAATCCATTCGTTGCTTTGGATCTGAACGTGTGATCAATTACAAAAAATATTGGGTACAGAATATTATCACAATTCAAGTTGGGACAAAAACGTATAAGGTATATTTGGATTCTGACCTTCAAAGACAAATCAACCAGAAGAAACGCAACACGTCCATGGTTATAAGGAGTAATATGCAAATGAAAGTGGGAAAGTAAGTACTAAGAGACCTAGATAGATCAACTCACAACGCGATACATGTGATACCAACCGCAACTACCGAAATACAAACAGCATGTAGCTTTGCTTACCCTTACATTTGAATTTTTCATCTTTGAGTGCTTCAATGCGCCGGCGCTGCATCCGCTTGGGCGTATCACATCGAGCACCGGAAGTTTCGATTGGATTTCGATGTAAATATTCAGCCAGCCAGCGAAGATTACAATCACATATGAATGGATTACGTGCTAGATGCCTGTGAAGCAAAAAATTACTAATAAATACATTATAAAGAATAATTTCATTTCAATAAATCGCGAATTATTTAAAAGCTGTATACTTGGATTTCAATGAAAGACATTTTACAGGAACGAACGGAGAAGCCACGATATCTATTCTACGCAATACAATTTGGTAAAACAATACACAAAATCACAAAGTTTATTTCAAACAATGCCTTCATAGAAACCTACAAATAAAAAATCCAAGTGTTTTCAAACACACGGTGAGTTGATGGCGAACTTCTATCTAATGATCCAGCAGTTGGGCAGTAATACTGAGTGCTGCATGAACCAGCAGGTGGGTAGTAATATTGAGTGCGGCATGTGCTAAAATATTTTTAAATCTTTCAAAAACTTTTTACGTCATTAACAATAAAATTATACTTTCAAAAATAACATCGAACGGAATCCGTGGTATTGCTATAGATTAGTTACGTTCGTACGTTCAACAACGATCTTAGAGAGCAGAAATACCTTACTGGAATAATGGAACATTATATACACATCTTTCCGTTTTATTGTCAAGTGAACATGGGGTTCCACAGGGATCGATTTTAGGTTATATTTTCTTCCTACTATACGTAAACGATATGCCCTCAACGATTGGAAACACACGAACAATTCTCTTTGTGGATGATACGAATATTCTTTGCAATAAAGAAAACGTAAATGTACAATATCAGATATTTCAAACTGGTTCCGTAATAACAAATTAATAGTGAATGAAAACAAAATGGTTTCAATTCTTCCATTTCAAATAAACAATTCTGTACTCCAATGACAAAGAACGGTGTGCCATTGACAGATGTTAAGGTAACACCATTTCGGGGTCTCACAATTCCGTCAAATCTAAAATGGAACGTCAATTTTAATGAATTGAACACTAAATTGAGTTCATTACGCTACGCGTTCATAATTCTTTCAAATTCAGTCAGTCTTCATACTGTTCGTTGGGTATATTTCGCGAATGTTTATTCCCGCCTGAGATAAGGCATACATTTTGGAAAAATATATCTTCGATCTCCTAGACTTTTAGATAACAAAAAAGAATTGTACGGATAGGAAGCAAATCCCACCCACGTGATTCTTATAAGCTTCTCTTTACTAATCTAGGTATGTTATCTTTACCTTCTCTTTTCATATAAGAATAAGTGGTTGTTGTCAAAAACGACTAACTTAAGGGAAGAACATATCTTATATTTCCCAGACTTTTAGATTACAAAAAATAATAGTGCGAATATTACGAAAATCCTACCTACGTGATTCCTGTAAGCTTCTTTATTAATCTAGGTATTTTACCATTCACATGTCTCTTAACTTAAGAATCGGTGTTTTTTTGTGAAAAATGAATTACATGAAATGAAATTAAGGGAGTGAATATATTTTCAGCAATCGCCGATGTCTATAACACTCGACGTAGTAATCATACTCATGAGGTGACAATATCAATAGATCACGACAAAATGTTCACTTACAATACATGTACATTATTTTACAATACTTTAAACGGTTTTATTTTAAATTTGAATGGTTAAATTCGACAGAAAAGTTTTAAGTTCCAAGTAAAATATTTTCTGCTGCACAACTGTTTCTATACAACTAGAGACTACGCCGAGCACCAAAAAGGAAAGTATGATTAATTTTAACAATGATAGTTCATGTATTATTTACCATTTGGACTCTATAATTCTAAAATCCTGTAGCAAGTATAGTACGTCAGGTCAATGGCCCCCATCTCGATCTGGTTTTTCGTCCAGTTTCCCTGATACTTTGAGAATGCTGAGATAGCCCCCTGTTTTGATTCTGGGCATAAATGTAATGTGACTGCACCTATCTATGCACGTCTTCTAGATTTCAGTGGGAAATGTTATTCAAATTATCGTTCTCTATGTTGTCAAGGTAGAAATATATTCCTTCACGAAGGTCGTGAAGAGAGATAAAAGTCCTCATGTTGCAGTTGTCCATTGAACACAGATTTTATTACAGCGGAGCGAATATTTTCTTATTCAATTATTCTCGCTAGAAACGTTCGTTTCTTTAGGTTTTCAGAATTGAACGTGTATATGATTTAGGGTAGGGGTCCCAGAATTAAGAGAAAGTGCACAGAATACACTTCCCCCCGTAGCCCGACAGACATAGTTGTTCACTGTTTTTGACGTAAAGTGAAATAAAAAAAATGTTTTCCCGTAATTGGGTTAGCTCTGTAGAAGATACAGTTCAAGATAGCAGATTCAAACATTCATTTTTGCACTTATCGGGTGTCGCGGACATCACGCGCCCTTTTTTGGAAGTAGAATCTTCATTTACTTACCAATCTGTTGCAAATTTTTACAAGGATTTCACAGATTCAGCGATATATAAGTACTTATTAATACATATTTCTGTGAGTCATTTCAGATGAAAACAAAACATGTCATCCTCATCACCCCAATTATATTATATATATATATATATATATATATATATATATATATATATATATATATATTACGTCATTTTGCTGCGAAACACTATTTTTCTGCACAGCAGTGTCTTGACGATTTCTATGCTTCGAGGAGGTTGCCATCCAGAAGGTTATGCTTAAAATGACTCGAACAGATTATAATATTCCTAAATATTGCCGAATCTTTTTCGTATACACGTGAGAACATGCACATTTGTGCATTAACGGAGAGCGGGATACAGCAATAGAGATTTCACGAGAGCCCTGAATTACGGAGGACTTTCGAACGCGCTCCACCTTCCCAGCTGCCCGTCCATCCGATGTGCGTGGCTTCCCCAGTCACTCGCAAACTAGTGGTGCTACATCAGATACTTTCTCGCAATATTTCTAAGTGATTCACTATATTCTACTACTACTACTACTACTTAAACATGCAAAGGTGTTTTCAACCAGCAAGAATTATTTTCCGCACCGAGACTGGAACTCAGGTTCTCAGAGTTCTCTAGCCGTCAGCCACTACGCTACAGGAGCGCCATATGGCTCGAACTTGGACCGACACTTGGACGAAAATGGGACTGTCACAACCAAATATTTCCAACCCGCAAATTTTGCAATATTCGAAAATACTGATTAGTCGCCCAAAATGGGACTAGAGCAATGTGTTTACCGTCCGTTGTTATACACAAGGAGAAAACGTAATGAAAAAAAAGGTACGGTTTTTGAGATTTTTTTTTAGAAATTGCATAAATTTCAGACACAAATTACGCCAAATGCTTTTTTTAAAAAAAATCCTTCTACATGAACTTTTCTTGAAGAGCTGATTTTTTAGAACGGAATTTGTTTGCGGCAAAAAATGCTATATTCAATTTTGTTGATATCACTAGCAGATTCCTATACAATCATTTTGCAGATGTATCTGCAAATGATAGAGTCAGGATGAAAAGAACACTGGAAAATTATTCCTTAATTGTATCAGAAACTAAAGAAAATACTTCCTTGGTTGCATAAGAAGATATTGAATTATGCATTACTTTTATAGTTAGTTTGGCAATGCGCATTGTAAGATACATACATTGAGGTTTCAATTCATATCACTCCAATCAAAACAAAATATATTAATTTTTCCCTCTACGTCCACTCCTTATATTTTGATTTCTAAACAGATTTTGCACTCTGGATTTTGTCATATGTTTGCAAGAACTCATTTTCATTTTACTGACTTTGTGGTTTACCAACACGCTAGCATAAGTACCCCATGTTGCCGGGGAATTTATCACAATAATTTATTAGACAGGAAGAGGTATTCCATCTATGATACAATGCTAGGCGAAAAAAAGCCCAAAAAAGTAATTATTTTGTGAATAAATTAAGGTTTATGGTTGTAAATCATAGTCTATAGCACTCCTTGCCTTTAAAGGAACCTAGCACGTAAGTTTCAACGGTATTCGTCAAGAACATTAAGAGAATATCGTGCAGTAACACCACACTCTTGTGTCTTTATATATTAGCATAGAAGATAATATAAAGAACTATGGTTATATATTGTCCGTTATTGTGAGAGAATAAAGAGACATTGATTCTTAATTGAGAATAAATTGCTGGCATTTAAATTTATTATAGTGTAGGTTTCTCAATAATGGAATGTAAATACGTCAATGTAAAGCAAAGTGTAAGTGAGAAAAACACTACCCATTCCACAGCTGGCCCGTGCCCAAGAGAAACCGAGTTGGAATAGCCTGTTCCATATTGTTACTTGGTGTTCTGAGCAGTTCTTGTGGGGAGAATATAATTATTTTGTTTATTAATGATACTATTAATATTATATAACACTTATCAGCTTTCATGGTCGCGGTATATATATATATATATATATATATATATATATATATATATATATTTATATTGAAGCATCCCTATATTCTCAAAATGTACTACACAATCTAGAAATAAATACACAAACACGCTCGCTATCAATTGTGTATTTATTTCTAGATTGTGTAGTATATACCGCAACCATGAAGGCTGATAAGTGTTCCCCAAATGTTGGTAAAATTGTTGGTTGTAAAATTGAAGAGCGTTCTTCAAACTACCCGGCAGGTTGTTTCCCAATCCCTAGATGAACGTGATAAAACCTGTGTTTAACCACGTGCTCAATTCAGAAAAATGCATGATGGTCTTCTGAAATGAAAAGTAAAGTACTGAACATATACTTTCTAAGTCCTAGTGCATGTACGATGATAAGGAATTTTTTAAGTATCTCCTTGAAATCTACATTGATGAGGATTTTAAATAAACACACAAGCAAAGACAGGCAAAATTTGCATACTCATGTGGGATAACATGTCACTAAAACTAAACCTGACTTACAATGTTTGTGAAGAAGTGTTAGATGAATTTGAAATTTATTCAGTCCACACAATAGCAATCAAGAATACAGGGAAGATTGCCAATCAGGACCTTTGGTTTTAGATATTCTTACGTCTCCCAGCTATGAACTACGGAGCAGAAATCTGGGGAGTGGATAGGATAGATCGATTAGAAAGCATCG